ATTTAAATATGATCTCTGCAAGCTAGTTATACTCTCAAGACTTATATCTCCATCTAGAAAAGGAGAAGACTTCTGGTTAAAGGTAATTCCTCAGTCAGCCCTGAGAGTTCCGTCCTCTGATGTGTGACCGCTGGTGTGGACCCTGAGCTGGAGCTGTTCAGTACTCATTGGTTCAGTATTTAAACAAACAAGTGAGCACACAATGCATCTTCGTGTAGCGTGTAGCATTATTTTAGAGGTGGGGATATCTGCTTTCAGTCTCCATAATAAGCATATATAAAAAAATGAAGCCAAGGAGATGGAAACACACGTTGGATATCTGAAGAGTAGCAAAAAGGCTTCAGTATGCAAACATGCAGCATTGCAAGAGATGAATTTGGGCAGAGCTGCCTGGATCCCAGCTATGTAGGTTCTGTGGGCCAACCATGAAGAACACACGTTATTGAACATGGGAGAAGAATCTCCTGAAAGAAGCAAGGGACAGTGGCACAGCACCTGCCTTGCAAGCGCAAGGTCCTGAGTTCAATCCCCAGGACTGGGGAAAAAAATAGCAAGGCAATGGAAAGGTTGAATAAGATTAAAAAGTGTCATTTCTGCCGCTTCAGGAAAGCATTTTTTTTTGGATGTCAAAATGCAAATAGATATGGCAGGCGACAACTGAGGTGGAGCAGGGATATAACAGTGTAGTAAAACGGTCAGAGTTGCAGTAAATTATTAACAGCGAGGGAGCAGGACTGAAGAAAGTGTGAACGAGTGACGGGGGGAATAAAGGAGTGAGGGACACCGTCATAATCTGGCCTGAACAATAACAGGGAAGGAGGCACAATTGTATTAATTAGAGAAAACCTAGGAAAGAATAGATTTACTGTAAAAATGAGTTTATACTTGTAAATGCTAAATCAATCTCTAATTGGGGAAGTTAAACTAGCTGCAGATAAGAAGTGGAGAATTAGCGGGGAGATGGTGCTGGACACACACAGTTCAGACTGCTGGAAGCATTTACAGGTTAGGAAGAAGGACTACCCCAATCAGGAAACCAAGGAAGAGGCTCCAGGGACTCGGAGGATTTCTGAGGCTGTGAGGATACGTGGCACAAACTGTGTCATGTGAGATCACGATGGTTTTACTGGGTTCCTCTTCTGTTCCAACTTATATGTTGAGGTCCCAACTTCCAGAGCTTCAGAATTCGACCTTACTTGAAGTTGGGATCCTTCCAGAGGTAATCAAGTTAAAAGGTTATGAAGGTGGTCCCAGTCCAATATGGGTATGGTTGGTATCCTTGATAGAAAAGGACATTTGGACCCAAGGTCTTGTCCCTAAGTTGTTCATCTCTAAATCAAGTACAGAGGCCAGGAACAACTCCACAGTTGCATGGTTGGTACCTTGAGTTTGAATTTCTGAGACGTTAAAGTCCTGTTGTTTAAATTACCCTGTTCGTGCTACTTTGTTACAGCAGCTTTAATAAAAGAATAAAGCTTTTGCTACTGCAAAGCAGGGTACTGCTACAATATCTATCTAAAAATGTAGAAGTAGTTCTAGGATTGAGTAATGTGTAAGGGTCTGGGGATGTCTAGTAAAAAGAACTCAGATTTCCTCTAGGAAAGAGGCCTTTGATAGGAATATGGATGTTGAAAGGTAATTCAGCTCCAGGCTTATAAAGAAAGATGAAAGCTGTAGAAAAGGCAGCTACTGCCTTAGAGAATGCTTATCCTGAATAGAGTGTTGCTAGAAAATGAATGTCAACCTTCTTGTGGCTGTGCTCTCAAACAGAAATGAGGAGCACGTTACTGGAACATAGAAGAAAGACAATCATTGTTTTACAGAAGAAGCATTAGCAGCTAATATAATGGGTAGAGGTCTATGGTTTTACATTTATAATGTATTCTAGCACTAATGAATAGAAGTAAATTGCTTTAAACATGTCTTCAGTGTTATACCTTTGTGACTTTATATGTGGAGCATTTTTACATGGAATTCCCTTTCTATTTTCTATTGTTCTCTCATTTCTCCTTTAAACTCATCTAAAGCATTGCTTTCTTTGGAAGCCTTCTCAGGTTGCCATGGATTTAGAAATTCTGGGAGTTTGAATTCATATATATAAATTGTTTGTCTTTAATGGTCTACATCATCATGCATCAAAGCAGTAAATGCAGGGAACTGTGTCTTACTCTGCTCGGAAACCCAGATATCTTCAGCAGGTAGTCTGATGCAGGCAGTTAACATTTTTTTTAAGTTCATGAATAAATAAAAGTTAAGGTTATAACACTCTAATTCTTTTTCATTTTTTCCAGATAAACTGCTTTTAATACTTGAAATTGGGAAGAGTAAGGGATGGAACCGAGGAACAATGTCACTCACTTTGTCCTTTTGGGCTTCACGCAGAACCCAAAGGTGCAGAAAGTACTTTTTGTCACATTCTTGTCCTTCTGCATTTTGACCATGGTGGGAAATTTGCTCATCGTCATGACTGTGACTGTCAGTAAGACCCAGGACTCCCCAATGTACTTCTTTCTTGCTAATTTATCACTTACTGACATTGTTTATTCATCAGTCATTTCTCCAAAGTTGATTTCAGACTTACTCTTTGGGAGGACTGTCATATCCTTCCTGTTTTGTATGATTCAGCTCTTCACAGAACACCTCTTTGGCTGGTCGGAGGTCTTCCTCCTGCTGGCCATGGCCTATGACCGCTATGTGGCCATCTGCAAACCACTGCATTACTCAGTCCTCATGAGGCAATGGGTGTGTGTGCTGTTGCTGGTAGTGTCCTGGGCTGGAGGCTTTTTACACTCAATGATTCAACTCAGCACTGTGTATGGACTCCCATTCTGTGGTCCCAATGTCCTCGATCATTTCATGTGTGACATGTACCCCTTGCTGAAACTCGTCTGCACGGACACCTGTGTCATTGACATCTTAGTGGTGTCCAATGGAGGACTGATCTGCTCCGTCGTGTTTGTGCTCCTGCTCATCTTGTATGGGCTCATCTTGCACTCTCTGAAGAACCTTAGTCAGGAAGGGAGGCGGAAAGCTCTCTCCACCTGTGGCTCCCACATCACTGTGGTTATCTTCTTCTTTGTACCCTGTATTTTCATGTATGCAAGACCAGCTAAGATTTTCCCGATAGACAAGCCATTGAGTGTGTTTTACACCATCATCACCCCCATGCTGAACCCCCTAACCTACACCCTGAGAAACTCAGAGATGACAAATGCTATGAAAAAACTCTGGACAAGGAAAGCCTTACCCAATAAATGATCCCCACTGTGAGGGGATTCATTTAGCTGTGATGCTGTATCCTTAGGGCCCATAGCCTTCTGAAATCCCATGCTCACTTCTCTTCCTTTCAAAGCTTTTTAATAAATACAGTTAAAGAATGTGCTGTGTGCTTGTGCCATTAATACTTTTCTCTGCTGTAGTACAAGGCCTTGTCACTGTATCTCATAAATTGTAAAGCATATATGGTAGGGAGTCAATAAATAATACATTTGTGGGTGAAAATCTATAATGTTACATTGATTTTTATTTAATTTCTGCATTTAGTTTTTCTTATACCTTAGACTTTCTTTTAGGTTGTTTTCATTATAGTAGTAAAATATTTAAATGCTATGCAGACTCCTCTTCATTTACTTGCATGTACATTACATATAAAATGTTTAGTGCACTGGTTTTACTTTGGAAAAGCATAATCCATAATATTAAAAATAGAACCCAAACAAATGGTAAAATGCAGAACGAATCTGCTCATCTCTCCCCAGGGACTCCCAGGGCTGCTCTCAGATGCAGGTACCCTGCTGTGTTTCTGATGCTTTAAGTAAGAAATGTTATCATTTGTGACAAGTTTGCACTTGGAGGACATTATGTTAAGATAAGACTGGGTACAGAGACAAATACTGGGTGATGTAGTCAGTAATGATCTGCTGTATACTTGAATTTTGATAAGAGGGAAGATCCGAAAGGTTCCCAACACAAAAAGTCAATAAAATTTTTTAAGGATTAGTGTTGGATGTGCTATTTAGCTGAAATGCAGAGACCACTTCACTGTAGATATCAGTACATCACACTGTCTGCCAGAAACACCTATTGTTCCCATTTGTCAGTTATGCATGAAGAAAGCTCAAAAATGAACAAGTGAAGCAAAGCAGCACTAAGGATGCCACTAAAGTATGACTACTATGCAGTGAAATTTCACATTTCTTCGCAGTGCCTTTTGACTACCAGGTATACTCCAGTAGTAATTTGCATTTATTATAGCTCAATTTAATTGAGGCTTTCCTTTTGTCTTTGTGGTGATGTTATCAATTTTATGAAAGTCATATTCATGTGGCGAAAAGATTTATTTTCTTGTAAAAAAATCCCAAAGGAACAAGACAGAAAAAATAGACATAAGGGGAAAAATTCCACAATAACAATAGGCAAGGACTTTGATATCCCTCATTCATCAGTGGACAGAAAATCAACAAAGAATATTGGAGATAAATTACACTATGCACCAAATGGACCTAAAGGGCAATGGAACACCTTCATGCAAGAGCTGCAGATTACATTCGGACAAAGAGTGAATGGTGTCCCCGTGATGTAGATGAATCTATGAAACTTCTCCCTACAGGAATCCAGAATGGAGCTGTAGCTGAGCAATTCACCCAACCTTCTGCCACCCCTGCCGCAGAACCTGTCGACTGGTCTGTGTCTCTCATGGATTTGGGTCTGGTGGAGATGTTGACCTTTCTGCTCCTCCCATGAGAATTTGTCACAGTGGGACCTTTGACTTGTAGTCCTCTCCTGCAGGACCAGGGGAGCCTGTTCTCCCATGGGATTTGTGCCAGGTGGTGCTGCTGACCCATACCTCTCCCTGTGGGATTTTGCCAGGAAGTGGTGTTGGATGTATAGTCACTTCCTATAGGTCTTCCCTGCTAGAGTTGTAGTTAACTCTGTTTTCCTGTTAGTGTTAGTTAGCCCTCAGAAGCCTTTTCTCTCATGAAGTCTATTTCTAGGTATTTTCTTTGGACTTTTGGTGGGAAATCCACAGTACCTCCCAGACTACCAGGGCTCTGGGCAGTAAGCTGGATACTATTCAGCCCCAGAAGAGAATGAAGTTCTACCATTTACATTAACATGGATGAGTATGTTAAATGGAACAAGTCAGGCACAGATAGACAAATACTGCAAGTTTTCATTTATGTCTGAATTATAAATCACTACACTCATAAAATTAGATTGTAGAACACTAGTTACCAAGAATTAGATACCCAATGAGGACATGGGGGAATGGTCAAAGGATATAAAATTTCTGATAGAGGAATAGGTCAAGAGCTGTATCGAACAACATTGTGAGTATAGTTAATTGAAATGTACAATTTTATTGAAAAAATATTTCCTGAGAAAGGCTGAGTAGATTGTATGGGTTCTCACAAAAGAAAATACTGTTTGGGTAATAATATATTATTTAGCTAGACATAAACATTCTAAAATGTGTATATATTTCTTTTTTTCTTTCTTTTTTCCATTAAGTTTATTGGTACATTTTAGGTATACGGTACGGTTACATTTATCATTAGGATCTTGTACCTTTACATGATGTATCTTGGTTCTTATTTTTTCCGCATCCCCTGCCCTCCCTTCACCCCTTTCACCCTTGTTTATAAAGTCTTCTCCTATGCTAATGTCTTCAAGAGTTCTACCTAACTTACTTTCCAGTAATTTCAATGTTTCTGTTTTAATATTTAGATCTTTAATCCACTTGGATTTTAGTTTAGTGCATGGTGAAAGATAGGGATTTAGTTTTAATCTTTGGCAAATTGAAATCCAGTTTCTCCAACACGAGTTATTAAGGAGGCTATCTTTCCTCCAGTGAGGATGGTTGGCTCCTTATTCAAGGATGAGGTAGCAGAGTCTATCTGGTGTTGTTTCCATATCTTCTAAGCTATTCCATTGACCTTGGGTCTGTTTCTTTGCCAGTACCATGCTGTTTTTAAAACCATGCTGTTTTTATCATAGTGGCTTTGTAGTATAGTTTCAAGTTGGGAATTGTGATACCCCCTTCTATGTCTCTGTTTCCCAGAATGCTTTTTGCTATTCTAGGTCTCCTCTGGTTCCAAATGGATTTTTGGATTTTTTTTCTCAAGTTCTGTGAAATATACTGTTGGGCTTTCAATCAGGATTGCATTGAATCTGTATGGAAACTTTGGAAGTATGGACATTTTTCACTATGTTGATTCTTCCTGTCCTGCCCAGGAGCAAGGAATGTCTTTCCATCTTTTTATATACTCTTCTATCTCTTTTTTCAGAGTGCTGTAATTTTCAGTGTGGAGGCCTTTTGTCTCCTTCATTAGATTGATTCCTAGATATTTCATTTTTGGATGTTATTGTGAAAGGGATTATTTCCCTAATTTCTCTCCCAGTGATTCTGCTATTTGTGTACAAAAAGGCTATTAATTATTGAATGTTGACTTTTTTTTGGAGACAGGGTCTCACTATATAGTTGAGACTGAACTAGAGCTCACTATGTAGCCCAGGTTGGTCTCAAACTCACAGTGATCCTCCTGCCTCAGCCTCCTGAGTGCTGGGATTACAGGTGTGCACCACCATGCCTGGCTGAGTGTTGTCTTTGTATCTAGCTATTCTACTAAGTAGAATCTATCAATTAAGTCTAGAAGTCTTTTGGCAGAATTTTTTGGGTCTTCTATGTAGAGTATCATATCATCAGCAAATAGTGACAGTTTAATCTTCCTTTCCTTTTCCTGTCTTTATTCCGTTTATTTCATTCTCTTGTCTAATTGCTGTGGCTAATGTTTCTAGAACTATATTAAACAGGAGTGGTGATAGTGGACATCCTTTGTGTTGTTCCTGATTTTAGTGTGAAGGTTTGCAGTTTTTGATCATTTAGAATGATATTGGCTGCTGGTTTTTCATAGATAGCCTTTATCAAGTTGAGGTAAAGACCATTTATTCCAATTTTTGTAGGGTTTCTTTTATCATGAATGGGCATTGAATTTTGTTGAATGCTTTTTCTGTATATATTGAGAGGATCTTATGGTTTTTTCCTTGGCTTTGTTGATATAGTGTATTACACTTATTGATTTACATATGTTGAACCATCCTTGCATCCCTGGGATAAATCACACTTGGTCAGGGTGTATGATTTTCTTGATGATCTTCTGTATTCTGTTTGCCAGTATCTTATTGGGGATTTTTGAGGCCTGTAGTTCTCTTTTATGGTTGGGTCTTTCCCTGGTTTTGGAATCAAAGTAATACTTGCTTCCAGGAATGAATTTGGATGTGTTGCTTCCCTTTCATTTTCATTGAATATTTTAAGGAATAGTGGTGATAGTTGTTCTCTAAATGTCTTGCAGAACTCAGCAGTGAAGCCATCAGGACCTGGAATCTTCTGCATTGGTAATGTTTTAATTATATTTTCAATTTCACTGAATGTAATTGGGGTGCTTAGACTTTTTATATCTTCTTTGTTCAACTGTTGAAGTTCATATGTATCTAGGAATCTGTCCTTTTCTGTTGTATTTTTCATTTTATTAGAGTACAGGTTTTTGAAGTAGGTATTGATGATCCTCTGGATTACTGCTGGATCTTTTGTGACTTTACTTTTTTCATTCCTAATTGCATGAATATGAGCCTTTTCTTTCCTTTTTTGATAAGGTTGGCTAAGGGTTTGTTGATTTCATTTATTCTTTATTTGATAACTTGTCAGATTCATGATTTATATGGATTTTCTTCTACTCTTTATGTTGCTTTTTTTCCCCTCTGTTGATAATGTCCTTTGATGCACAAAAGTTGTTTTTCATGAAGTAAAATTAGTCTATTTTTTCTTTTGTTGCCTGTACTTTTTCTGTCAAATTGAGGTCATTTTCCCCCAACTGTCATCTTTTATTGTTGAATGCACTTGTCTTCTCTGAGAAAAGTCAGCTGACTGATGTAAATCCTAACAGAATGTGTTTGTCCTTTCTATTCTTCTCATAGTGGCCTTTAACCATGTTAAAGTAATTTGGTTTTCTTTCTCGTGGACCCAAAGGAGGCCATCAGCATCTAGCTGGGGCGCCAGGACAGGCAGAGAGCTCCTATCTGGACTTGACACAGCTCTACTATCTGTGAGCTGTAAGACACTGAACAAGCTGGGCAGCTCTCAGAAATTCCATTTCATTGTCTGTAAGTAGATGCACAGTAGGATTTAATTTACACAGCTTTGTGAGGTTTAAATAAATGTGTGAAACAAGTACAGTGCCTGGTTCCTTGTGTTAAGAAGC